AGCTTTCAGCTCCTTCAGCGTGGAATAGGACATTCAATTTTGAGCTTTTCCTATTGAACTTGAATAGCTTGCACATTCAAAAAAAAAAAGTTTTCTGGAGAAACCCAATTTTTTAAAAGTCCAGGAAGCATGCAGCTGGTTAATGTTAACAAAAGACCTTGACAGGAACATGTAAACTATATTGAATGTCATGCTTGGGGCCTATCTGCCAGCAATATCGTAGAGTTGTTTCATTAAAGAACGAATACTGTACACTGAATATGGGATAACTTTCTGCAGCCTTCATGGTTTCACACAGTACCTAGATTTTTTAAATCCAGGGGAAGCACGGGTCCTGGTGTCCCACCGCTGAAGATGTCCCTGTGCAATCGCTTTCTGCTGAGTCCTTACGAAGCTACAAGTCACAAACCCACGATTCTGCTCCCTGAGGACACGTTATGTGAGACACAGCACTGCTCTCGCCGCCTGCCTATCCTAATTGCTCTGTGAAACATCACCTCAAACACCATCCTGTGGTGGCCACGAGGACTTCCGCTAAAGGCCGTGTAGACTAAGTAACAAGACAGTGGTACTGCTGACATTCTGAAATGCTCTGAAGAAAACAACTTTCCCAACACTAAATACAACAAAATAACCTTCATAAAATATAAATTTTCTCCATTTACACTTTTTTAAAGGATTAGTACCCTGTGCTTTTCAAGCACGGGCATCTGTGAAATAACTCCTAACATGGACAGATTTCTCCTTTTTTAATACATAACTTAAGAGCCTGGAGAGTTTTAACTCAAGTCCAGCCTCCAAACAAGGAATAGTCTTGTTTACTTTAAAAATGGAAACAACATACCGTTCCATTATAATGGTTAAAAAGTTAGCTTTACAAACATGGGAATTTTAATTTAAAAAAAAAAAAAGAAGTCTTAACAAAACTATACAGTGTACACATTACTGTCTACAAGGTAGGCGGTTCTTTAAGAAGACCTTCCGCTCTTCTTGCTACTTGCAGCTTCACAGATTCATTCACATATTTTTTTTTTTAAATGGAGCTGCCCACCTGAACATTACCCCATAACTATATTGCTATCATTAAGATTTTTGCCATGTCTTTATGTACAGTCTCCTTCACTGCCTTTCACTCATTATGTTCCTTAGGCTAGCCTCCAACGCTCACATCACTCCAGAGGAAAACACTTCAGAGGCACTGCGAGTGGGGGTCTGCAAAGCAACACAACACATGCGGGACACACACAGTGCCACAGAGCCAACCGGGGCCTGGAGACACCGTCCCCTACTGATGATGCCCTTGGCTGACCTTCACCATCCTGAAGCTCTGCAGTTTGGGGGAAGAGAGGGGCATGCAAGACCTGCAAATGTGGGGCCCTTTAGTCAGAATATACTTCCTGGTAAAAGAGGAGGAGGCCGAAAAATGGATGTGAGACCATACATCTAGTAGTAGTTTTTTTTTTTCATAGTTGGATCTCAAAAGGAAAGGAGGAAAAAAAAATGGATTCCAAATAATAGCAACACTTGAACTAGTCCTTTGTGTTCAAGAGGCAGGCAGGAATACCCACAGTGTGTAACTTCTTTAGCTGGAATTGCTCATTCAACAGGCAAAAGAAGAGAGCGAGTCTGCTCTGGAAAGAGACTGAGTGTCCTGGGAGGTGGACATGTCCACCGAACAGGTCTAGGATACATGAAGAACTTGGCTGGGATGGAGCAGGGCAAGTACCACAGAAATGGCTGGACTTACTTCGGACCGTGTGCTGCTGGGATCCCACTGTGCTATTCAGCACGTGGGCTACCGATACAATCCTTAGGCCAATGAGCACTGTTCCCAAGTATTCATTATTAAATGATATGCTGTGGGAACAATGGCAATTTATTGTATTGGACCGTGGCCTGGAGAAAGGGACTCCTCGAAACAGCCCACCCTGTGTCACTAATTTTAAGAGATTTTCCTTCTAGTAATGGATTGCCTCCATGGGACTGGGCGAGGAGGGAAATAAAAATGAAACCAGTCTCTCCTCACCCTCGGTGCCTCAGGGGAAAGGAAATTAAAAAAAAATAATAAGTTTGAGGGACCATCCCTTAAAAAAAAATCACATCAGCAACTAATGGGCTTCATGCATCCACAGGAAGGTTAATCCTTAAAATTCTCCATTTCCCTTCTGCTCTGTCTCTCAATTTCAAAGAGCAGGTAAAATGAAAACTTGACAAGATTTATCTTTTTGTTCCTTAAAAAGTGAACTTTGATTTTTAAAACTGTCAATCCAAATACATTTAATAGTAGCCACCTTCTGGATGTCTAAAAAAGAAAATTCCAGCACACTGCCATCCAGGTGAAGCGATAGGTGAGCCACAGGGGAATCCTATCCCATTGTTTATGAAATGAAGAAATGGGAAGAATTGGAGGGGAAAAGCTATGGAAGCATTCCCTGCAGCCACAATGACTTGTTTTGTATGAGGAAATATGCGGATTTATTAAACTCCCAAAATGTGACATATCTGCTCTGTGTATATTTCAACAAATAATCTTGCCAATTATGAGACAGGCTCACTCTCCACTGTGGATCTGAAACTCAAGAGAAACTACTACCACCACACACACACACACACACACACACACACACACACAAAAAAAAAAAAAAAAAAAAAACACAAGAGAGAGAGAGAGAGAGAGAGAGAAGGAAGAAGAAAGAAGAAAGAAGGAGGAGGAGGAGAAGAAGAAAGGAGGAGAAATTACAGTTTGTTTAAAGCCAAGTCTGCCTCCAGGAGAACTGTTGTGTTCACTTGCTCTTACTCGTTGTGTTGTTAGGGAGACCAGAGATGAGTCCAGCTTGCACCCCAGGTGGGAAGTTAGAGGAGGGGGAACCTGTGTAAGTTGAAATTTGTCACAGTAGGCAGAACAGTCGCTTTGCAGCCCAGGCCCATCTCAGGGTGCACTGCTTCACAGCTACACTGTAAAGTGTTAAAAATCCTCCCACCCGCCCCAGAATATATATATATTTATATATGTATCTTAAAAAAAATCCCCTGTCCATCTCTCAGTACACAAAAGGACCTCATCACACTGCAAAAATAGCAGTACCCACTTTGGTCAATTAAAACAAACAAAACAAAACAAAACAAAAAAGCATACATTATTTTTTTTTTAAATCTGTGTACTTACCTATAATAACCAATACAGCTAAAAGCACTACCTACATAGGCAAAACTTGGTATTGCATAATTCGTATAAATTTGAAACCCCTCCCCCCAAATATTAATTGGAAGATGAAAAACATGAAAGGTTAATAGAAAAAACACCAAAAATACTGAAAATATTGCTGGTCGATTACAATTTTTAAGCGGCAACTATACACAGCCATGATATGCTTTATAAATGTGAGATAAAGGTATAACTGTCTAAAAAATCCATGATGTCACACATTTTTCTTCGTCTGGAGTACAAAATATTTTGTCATAAAAATGGTAAAGATTTAAAATGATAATAAATGCAGCAAAACAAGTGTAGTGATGTCACTTTTTCGTGTTTTTTTGTGTTTTTTTTTTTTCTTTTTTGTCTTTTAGATTTCAAGGCAAGGCACGTAATGTGGACATTATATCTTCGTGCAAATTAGGATTACTGGAAAGAGTATTTTTAATTAAAATTTTAAGAGACATAGAGGCAAAAATGTGTCTGCCCATGCACACTACAGATCTGTCAATACAAGAAGTTCGTTGAACAAGGCTAATGTCTGAAAGCACCATGCAAGTATTCAGCACCCTGATCACACGTGTTTTCTCAAGAGTGCGTTTCTATATGCTACACCCTGGCGGTCCCAGTTTGTAAACTGTAAGCTTTACCCTTGTGACATGGATTTGCCTGCCTCTGTCTCTGTGATGCAGATTTTATAGAACCTTTTGTACACCCTATGGGTTCTTGATGCAACCAGTAATTTTTAAATAAATAAATTCTACCTCCAAGGAGGCTGCAGCTAAACCAACATAAGTGCTGTGTTTCCATTAATTTTTTTTTTCCTCAAGCACATGATTTGTCTTGATTTAATGCATTTTTTTTCCATGCCCTCAAAAACTGAGGGGAAAATAAATTCGCTCAAAATTATTGTAAATTCTTTTTTTTTTAATCCCCTCAATTTAGAGTCCAAGGGTTGAAGGACTTATAATCATGATTCCCCTTTAGATATAAATTTATAAATTGCACTTGCCTCTGTTAAGTGTTTCTTTTGTGGGCAAAATATTATATTAATTTTTTACTGTTGCATGCAGAGATAACACTTCACCTACATAGAGGCATTTCTTCCATAGAGCCTTTGTGTTCAAACTGTTTTTTTTTTCCTTTTTCCTTTTTTTTCTTTTTTTTTTTTTTCCTTTTTTTTCTTTTTTAAGATTTCAAACTGGGTTAAACACTGGAAAAGGCTGGGTTAAGGGCCAAAATTTAATAAATCTGTACTGATAACTAAAGGCTACAGAGATTCCATATATTCTTTTAACTTTTAGAAATCAGAGTGCTTATAAAATGGCTGGCTCATGGCTCCGACACCCAGCACCTCTGATGCCGCCTCCTAGCCTTCGTTGGTGAAATAACCAGGAATAGTGATTCCATGCGTAAACAACAAGATTACTAAACCAAGAAAACTAGCTTATCATGCAAATATTAAGGCATCTAGAAAGTCAGTTAAAATATATTGTCATAGAGACAGAACATCTATTTCCCAGCGGACTTCATGTAACAAAGGCTACGCGTTGCAGGGGCTGCGATCTACCATCAGTGAAATATCATCGACCCTTTTTTTTTTTTTTTTTACGTCATTACAGTTTCAACCTTAAGGGAATTAGTGATTGTAAGTGCTGCAATTGCTGGTCTAATATCTTCTTTCTTCCGTTTCCTTCCTTCCTCCCTTTTTGTTTCGTTTTTATTTTGTCCAGTCTTCCTCCTTTCCATTTTTCTTTCTTTCTTTCTTTTTAATTTCGTAAGTTGCTGTTGTATTTCATTCTCTCCCTCAGTTGCTCGTTTCTGCTTGAAGGAAAGGTTCTCCAATTATGTTCAAACCGTAATTTTGGACATTTGCCGGTAGGATGGGTGTCCTGTTTGATACTTGGAAAGGAACCAAACTAGCCCAGGTACCAGGACTGTTGATAGGTGGGGGGCAGAAGGGAAGGAAGAGAAAAAGAGAAAACACAATGTTAAAATCTACAACATTAGAAACATAAATGCCACAGATATCAAATTACTACTATCATCTATTTAAAAAAATTATAGTTTAATATAAGATAAATGTACTAAGTTATATATTTTATAGGTATACACACCACATGGTCTATTGTTTTCATGAAAGGTAAGATTAATTGTAAAGCAGAATATCCTCAAATCAGGCTCATACATAACTGCTCAACTCTGATTGAGGATATTCTTCCTATAATATTTTATCTACTTTAATGGAAATACAATATTATTTTTTAAAAATATTTATTAAAAAAATAAAAGAGAGAAAGCAGCAAACCTACAATGGTAGCAATATAGTTTGCCAGTTATATTCTGATCTTGTTTTGCTTTGAATTCATAAGCAATTGGTTGAATACAGTTAAAAGCTGTAATGAAAGTTATTTCTTTTATCTTACAATAAGGAAAACATATTTTTTCAGGAAGGCCAGTGTATAGTGTTAATTTGAAATGCTGACACCAGAAGCCTGGGGCCTTCCTGCCCCTCCCCATCAGTGATGTTACCACATGGGGCTGCTCTGGGTTTGGGTGCTTAGAGGGGTGAGTGGGAAGAATGCCGGAGGGAATAGCAGACGGGATTCTGGCCCCTTTACAACCAACACGGGGTTCACCTGTGTTTGGTTTGAGGCTGCTTAAGAAAAAAAGTTTGAAAAACAGCCATCTAATTACTACTGGCATAATCTCTTATTAAACAAGTATCACATGGAGGAAAATAACACCAGATCTACATATCACAAAACAACCCCACACCATACATTTGGGGTATACCTAATCCAATGTATTGCTTGTTTCAACACTCAACTTAGAATGAGTGTCAACTAAGTAACAGCTACATAAAATCATCATGAACCAAGAAAATATCAAACTGACAATTCCATACTCAATGTTGTCATGGTCTGGCATGGGGACCTAATTTCAAAGTTTTAAATTTCATTTACTCTCTTCTCCTATTGCAAGCATGAGGTGAGATGGATACTATTATCATAGCTATCAACCGAGTCATCCTCATTTTAAAAAATATTTGAATTTAAAAAGGTACAGAACCTTTATGGAGTATTCACTTCAGGGAAGAATTTTGTCAGCAAAAAAGAAATGGGAAAAAAATGCTTGGATTTTAAAAAAGAACTTGACATATAACATTCTTTTACTCTGGAGATACTCTATACAAAATGGGACTTATTGCTACTTATCTAGGTACATATTTCTGAATTAATATTGCAACAGAAAAAAATCACAATGACCTTTTATGCTCAAGGAACTTTATGATTAGACAATGAGCTCCGTGATAGCAAAGTCCATCTCTTTTTGTTTTTCACTTCATATACTACCTAGCACGTGGTCAATTTTCAATAATTTTTAATAAACCAACAAATCAATTAAATGCTCCAAATCACACATATGTATTTTTGAAGAGTGATGCTCATAATCACATCTTTTTAAGACTACAGTGTGATTTGACCCCTATAAAAAGAAATCAGGCATCTCTAAATTTAAATTAGAGATGTTTAGCATTAACAAAAATTAATTATGTAGGAAAAATTAATTCAAACAAGGAATAATTCCAACTAAAAAGATAATGTCCTCATTATCTGCTTAAAAAAATCATCATTCTAAAGAAGAAGAGTAGCTGTTTCTAAAACCTTTTCTCAGAGACTTAATTGTTTTCACATATTTATTTTTCCCCACACACATCTTCAACAATTATTTCTGCTTCACACTACTGATTAGGAAGAATGTTACATGACAAACCATGAAACTTACTTTCTCCTTAATTGTATTTTCACCACACTTACTATTACAGTACTATTATTATAAAGTACTATTACAGCATATATTACTCCATAAAAGTATAATCTGTATCTATGATAATCTTATTGACTGAAAGAAAATGGCCTTATCTTAAAAATCCTGACAGAATCTGGCCATGGTTGATGTTAAACATTTATTAACAAATAATAAATTACAAAAATTGACATCCATTATTTTTAACTTGAAATAGGAAGTATGTATGAAAAACAAACTAGACTAGCTCCAATTGATAATCCTTGACAGTAACAGACAATGTCAGCAACAGGCTCATCAATAAGAGTCCCAAATTATATGGGCTCTATATAGAGAGTGCTATTTTATATATATATATATATATATATATATATATATATATATATATATATATATTATTGATTTTTTTTACAGAGAGGAAGGGAGAGAGATAGAGAGCTAGAAACATTGATGAGAGAGAAACATCGACCAGCTGCCTCTTGCGCACCTCCTACTGGGGATGTGCCCACAACCAATGTACATGCCCTTGACCGGAATCAAACCTGGGACCTTTCAGTCCGCACACCGACGCTCTACCACTGAGCCAAACCAGCATCGGCGAGAGTGTTACTTTAGAAAAATAAAATATTAATGATTGAGAATAGGTGTGACTCTTTAAAATAAGAAATCTACCTACTAATGGCAGAAAAGATATGATATCAGGGTGAACTAGGCAACAGCCTAGTTGATTCAGTTCTTTAGAAGAGAAGCATATTATTGTTCTTTGGAAAAGTCTCAATAAAAATAAAGTGATCCCAGTAACTAACAGGATTCTTGTTGTGAAATATCTAACAGATTCAATTTAGATGTTTATTTAAACCTTTTAAACCTCCATCCCACATGATGACCATGTCAAAATTGAAGTGTGCAATATATTTGTCAATACTGTTTATGAACCTTTGGGGGGAAATAAGTTTCAAAGATTAACACTATGCAGACCCAATATATGAATTTTACAAGTCTCTTAATGCCAATTTGTAGGTTAAGTTCAGAACTATAAGGCACAGACATATTTAGAGCTTTTTGGTAGTCCCATTGAAAAACTCTGATAAAATTCAATTATAATAATAATGTAAAGAAAAATGTTCTGACAAAATATCTTAAATTATTTCATTTTGAAAAGAGAATGCCTCAAATTGCATAGTTATTCAGGTAAAAAATAAAAAAAAGTGATTTTTACATATTTAACTCTTTCAATATATAAAAATGCCAATGATCACCGGAATGGATAAAATAAACACACTTATTCATATTTATCTACATATAGGAACTTGTTATATATAAAATGCTTAATAATTTTAATAATTTTACTTCAGAATGGAATGAGAATTATATGGATAATCTTATAGTCAATCAAATAACCTGTGTCTCTGTCTACTAAGAGACAATTGAAAGATTTCAAAATATTCAATATCAAATTAAACTACTTCAGCAATAAGTATATCTTCAGGCATGCATTTACTTTATTTAAATTACATTTCCATTGCCAGATCACCTTTTTTTTTTTTTTTTTTTTTTTTTTTTGCAAACAGAAAATGAGCATGACTGAAAGTTAAAAGCACATCTTTAGAAAATAAAGACTATGACATTAAAAAAAAAATTAAGGACTTTGAGAAAAATCAGGTAAAAAAGGAGCAAAGATTGTGACAGTGCCTTAACACAAAGCAGAATTCACCCAAATGACTTCAATGACTTCTACTCTATGTGTAGAAAGTTGTGGGGGGTGGGGGGGTGGGGGGGAGAAAGAAGAGAGAGAGAGAGAGAGAGAGAGAGAGAGAGAGAGGAAAAGGAAAAGAAAAGAAAAGAAGAGAAGAGAAGAGAAAAGAAAAGAAAAGAAAAGAAAAGAAAAGAAAAGAAAAGAAAAGAAAAGAAAAGAAAAGAAGAGAAAAGAAGAGAAAAGAAGAGAAAAGAAAAGAGAAGAAAAGAGAAGAAAAAAGAAACACATGTCCGACATCATGGATAATATTTCTACATTCTTCTTGTTGATGGTCCTGCTTCATTTTATACTGATCAGACTACCTCTAAAACACTGTGTTTCTTCTAGGCATCACTCTTCAAGAGAAACAAACTCTATGCCATTTCTTTGGTGAATAAAACCACCAAATAATGTAATTTGAGGAGCAGCTAAAAGGAGACAGGAAGACAGGGAAGTTAAGTTGGAAAGAAATGCAGACTTTTGTCTGGTTCAAATGGATAAAATTAATTAGTACAAAGAGAGAAATTTCCAGAAAATAACCATGCTGAGGGCCTGTTACAAGCAAGGTGCCATCTTTGGTATTTCACCTGCTATGTTACTTAATCCTCTCAATGAACTCTGGAATGTGCCATCATCATCCCCATTTCACAGATGAGAAAACTGAGGCTTAAAGAACTTAAGTAACTTGCCCAAATTTACCCACCTAGACCTCAGCTATGAATCAGTTCTGTCTGTCTGACTCCCATGAAAGTCAGAAATTGACCTATCATTAGAAAGAACATTTGAACATAATTTCCGGAAGGCAAAGTGAATTTACTTCAAGAGACAGGGAATTTCCCATGGCCCACACAGCTGGATTATAACCTAGCTAGTGTTGCAAACAGACTGGTATACAGAATATTTGGTTGGTCTGGGTGATAAAGCAACACTGAAATGTGATGCATCTGTCTCCTCTGAAAATAAATCTAGTTGAGGTTCTATTAGAGTGACCCTATCATAAGGATTAAGGGGGAAGAAGATACCCACTTCTTCGTTTTGAAAATGATACACTAGTTACACATGTTGTGTCCCAGATAAGTTGGATAAAATAGTTGATCTTCATATCTACACGGAGTAAATAGATTCTATACCTCTCAAGGAAAAAAATAGAATTGCTCTGAGCAAGTCAACATTTGATGGTTGTGTTGTGTTTTTTTTTAATATATTTTATTGATTTTTTTACAGAGAGGAAGAGAGAGGGATAGAGAGTTAGAAACATTGATGAGAGAGCATCATTAATCAGCTGCCAAAGTACATGCCCTTGACCGGAATCGAACCTGGGACCTTTCAGTCTGCAGGCCGACGCTCTATCCACTGAGCAAAACTGGTTTCGGCTGATGGTTGTGTTTTTAA